GTCCCTAAACATATAAAAAGATGCCCAAGCTCCCTAGCCATTAGGGAAATGCAAATCAAAACCAGAATGAAAGTGAGGCGCCAGGGCGTCTCGGTTGGTCAGTTAAGTGTCTGATTTCGGCTCAGGTCACGATCTCACTATTCATGAGTTCGAGCCCCGCGTTGAGCTCTGTGCTAACAGCTCAGAGCCTGGAGCCTGCTTCGGATTCTGTGTCTCCCTCTCTCTCTGCCCCTCCCCTGCTCATGCTCTCTCTCTCTCTCTGTCTCTGTTTCTCCCTCTCTCTCAACTAAATAAACATGTGAAAAAAAACGTAGCATTATAAAACAAACAAACATAGAATTATACAATGCTGCAATTCCACTCCTAAATATGTATCCAAAAGGGACTCAAACAGATATGTGGACACCAAGGTTCACAGCAGCATTATTCACAAAAGACAGAAGCCACCTAAGTGTCCACGAGCAGACGAAGGGGTGAATGAAACATGATGTATAAATACGGTGAAATATTATTCAGCCCTAAAAGGAAAAGAAAAACCCATCTGACACGGTACAACACGAATGAGCCTTGAAAACATTAGGCCAAGTGAACCAAGCCAGGCACAAAAGGACACACAGTGCACTTAGATATGAGGTCCCTAGACTAGGCAACTAGTGGAGAAAGTAGAATGCGGTGGCCGCCAGGAGCCGAGGGGGAGCGGGATGTGGCATCAGTGTTTAATGGGGACAGTTTGGGAAGATGAAAAAGTGCTGTACATTGTGCTGGTGATGACACATCTACTTATTTTGATTTGTGTCTAAATCATGAGATGGGTTGATGGATGGGAGGAATGGATAGATACAGTGTGGCCAAGTAATATTTAGCAATTTAGGTAATTGTGGATCCTAGGGGTAATCACTGTATTATTCTTCTGACTTCTAGATGTGTGCGATTTTTCAGAAAAAAAAAAAAAAGTTGGAAAACAAAGATCCTTGATGGATCTGAGTGGCTGCTTAAGTCACAAAAGGAGGGACAAGCTGATTTTGAGTTCCTCCTGTCAAGAGGGCACAATGCCCCCTGTAGAAGTCTCGCCAGGAAATGGAAATTGAGAGGCGCCTGGATGGCTCCGATGGGTAAGCATCCGACTTTGGCTCAGGGTATGATCTCACGGTTTGTGAGTTCAAGCCCCACATGGGGCTCTGTGCTGGCAGCTTGGAGCCTGGAGCCTGCTTCAGATTCTGTGTCTCCCTCTCTCTCTGCCCCTCCCTGGCTCGTGCTCTGTCTCTGTCTCTGTCTCGCTCAAAAATAAATACTAAACATAACTTTTTTTGAAAAATAAAAAAGAAAGAAAGAAAGAAAGAAAGAAAGAAAGAAAGAAAGAAAGAAAGAAAGAAAGAAAGAAAGAAATGGAAATTGAGCCTGGGCATTGGTTGGTCAAAGGGAGAACAGAGGAACATATTAAACTACACCACAAGGGTGACATCAGACTTCTATAAAGCCTACAGGGCGAACAATCCAGTTTTTTTAAGTTTTTAATGTTTTTTAAAATTATTATTTACTTTTGAGAGAGAGAGAGAGAGAGAGAGCAAGAGTGGGGAGGGGGGTGGAGAGAGACACACACAGAATCTGAAGCAGGTTCCAGGCCCTGAGCTGTCAGCACAGCGCCCAAAGCAGAGCTCGAATCCACAAACCCTGAGATCATGACCTAAGCTGAAGTCAGACACTTAACCAACTGAGCCACACAGGCGCCCCTCAAATATGTTGCAAGGGGCAAAAAAAGGAACCCAGAACTTAAAGGAAGCTGCCCTCAAACCAGTGCAGTATGTGGGCCTTGTTTGAACATTTATTTGAACCAGTAAATATTTAAGAAACAATTAGGGGGGCACCTGGGTGGCTCAGTCGGTTGTGTCCAACTTCGGCTCGGGTCATGATCTCACAGTTCATGAGTTCAAGCCCCATGGTGGGCTCTGTGCTGACAGTTCAGAGCCTGGAGCCTGCTTCAGATTCTGTGTCTCCCTGTCTCTCTGCCCCTTCTTGGCTTGCACTCTGTCTCTCTCTCTCAAAAATGAATACATGTTAAAAAAAAATTGTAATCTAAATACTCACAGGCTACACAATGATATTGAAGAATTATTGTTTAACTTTTTAGGTGTGATAATGATTGCAGTTATTGTTTGTGGTTCGATCTTTTCAAGATACGTATGGAAGTTTTTACAGGGAAAATGATGTCTGGGACTTGCTGCAAAATTCTCCAGTGGCAGGGAAAGGGATGGGGGTAGAGCTCAAACATGTTCGGCAGTGGATACTGGAAACTGCTGATGTTGGCGGTTAAGTTCAGGTTTGTTTGTTACCTTATTCTTCCCTATTTTGCATGTGCTTTAAACTGTCCATAATACAACTTAAAAAAAACAATTTAATATTTTTATTTGAGACAGAGAGAGACAGAACATGAGTGGGGGGTGGGGGCAGAGAGAGAGGGGGACACAGAATCCGAAGCAGGTTCCAGGCTCCGAGCTGTCAGCACAGAGCCTGACGCGGGGCTCGAGCCCACAAACCGTGCGATGGTGACTTGAGTCGAAGTCGGACACTTAACTGACTGAGCCGCCCAGGCACCCAACTTTTTTTTTTTTTTTTTTAAATAAGTAGCCACACAAGAATAAGCAAGATAATTTTGGAAAGCGACTGCCCTATCAAATATCAAAATATATTCTAGTGGCCACGTCTTTTACCAGGTGGCCACTACCAGGCTCGATCCTACAAGCAGCTATTCCCATTGAGAATTTGTGCTACAGATACCCTTGAACCTGGGCAAGGAGGCGATGTAGCAGGTGGCTACTACTACTGCAAGGATTAGAAGTGACCAATGACCCCCAGAAGGGAACAAATGCTAACATTTCAGTGATGAGCCGCAACACAGCCATAAACTAGAACAAGGAAATCCTGTAGGCCTGGGTATGTGGAACCATCCCGAAGACCTCTAGCAGGTAGGGGAAAAAAGAGTTCTGCATAGTAGTAGCATTTTTTTTTGGAGGGGTTGCCTGGGTGACTCAGTCGGTAAAGCATCCAACTTTGGCTCAGGTCATGATCTCATGGTTCGTGGGTTCGAGCCCTGCATCGGGCTCTGTGCTGACAGCTCAGAGCCTGGAGCCTGCTTTGGATTCTGTGTCTCCCTCTCTCTCAAAAATAAATAAACATTAAAAAAAATATTTTTTAAAAAGAAAGAAACATTAAAAAAAAAAGTTTTTTAAGTAGGCTCCACACCTATCGTGGGGCTTGAACTCACAACCCTGAGATTGAGAGTCACATATTCTATCTATTGAGACAGCCAGGCACTCGACGTTACTATTTTTCCAAAAGATGACAAAGCATAGTATGTGTACAGATTTCCTTGTATCTGGACGAAGTGTCTCTGGAAGCAGAAACAGGAAACCAGATGACATTAGTCGCCTTCAGAGAGACGACAGCAGTGGCTAACAGACATTTCACTGTTGATTTCAATATTACCTGCTTCCCCCCCCCCCCCGCCCCCGGCCTTATAACTATAATGCAAATTTAGTATGCAAGCTGTTATCAAAAGCAGATCTCAATACACGAGTATGGAGTATGGAATTATCTGGAAAAGGGGAGATGCAACGCACAAGGTCTTGAGAAGTCAAATGAGAAAGAAAAATATTACACGGCCTTTCACAATGTGGTTGCACATCTCCCGTCTCAAGGACGTGTTGAGTAGAAACGCTTTGGCCAACACCAGATTAACAACAATATCAAATGTTTATTAAGTACTTGTTTGCAGGTATCTTTGCTAAGAGTCTGACATGAAGGACCTCATTAGCTATTTACATTAGTCCGCTGCAGTGGTGAGCATGACCACCCCCAGGTCATAGTTGAGGAATAAGGCCCAGAGAGGGAAAGCCATTCACCTGAAGTCACACAGGGGAGGAAAGGGTAGGTCTGGCACTCGTCTACATGGCATGTCCCCCCTCTCCCCCCCCCCCCCCCCCCCCCCCCGCAATTCACCTATTTAGCAAGTAGTTATTGAGAGCCCTCTGTGTTCCAGGTACTGGCCTGCTGCTCGCTGGTGATTCCGAGGTGAACAAAGCTTAAAGAGTTCAGCCAGATTTTTTTCTGCAGAAACTTTGCTCTGGCTGCAATCCCCAGGGGCGCAAACACCTGCTGCAGAAGGGCCCAAGGACCACAGCCTCCAGCAGAGAAAATAGGAGTTTATTACCAGCTAGCGGAAATGGTGGGTCCTAAGGGTGGGAGCTGGCGAGGGAGGCGGGGAGGTAAAAAAATCGGATTCGAAGGCCTGAGTAGGTCCTTGCTGGTCCTGGGTCCCTCAGGGGTCTGCCCCAGGCTCATAACCACGGAAGGTGCTATAGTCTGAAGGTGTGCATCCCCTCAAAAAAATTTTTTTTAAAGTAGGCTTCACGCCTGGTGCAGAGCCCCATGCAGCGCTTGAATTCACAACCCCGAGATCAAGACCTGAGCTGAGATCAAGAGTCGGATGCTTAAGCAGCTGAGCCACCCAAGCGCCCATCAGAATCCTTACATTGAAATCCTAATGCTCAGTGTGATGGTATTAGGAGGTGGGCCTTTGGCAGCTGCTAGATCATGAGGGTGGAACCTTCAGAAGCGTCTTTGCAAAAGAGACTCCAGAGAGCTCCCTAGCCCTCTCCCACCCTGTGAGGACACAGCCAGCAGGTGTGGGCTACGAACCAAGAGGGCCTTCACCAGAATGTGACCATGCTGGTGTCTTGATCTTGGATGTCTCAGCCTCCAGAGCTGTCAGAAATACATTTGTTGGTGAGCGCCCCCACCAGAGGTGTTGGTAAAGCAACCCGAGTGGACTAAGACAGAAGGAAAGTCCGTTCACAGAGGTGGGGTCTCCAGACAGAATAAGGCACAGGGAATGGTGAGGCCGACCTCTCCCCCTTGGGATCCTCTCGGGGCGGGGAGCCCCTCTCCTGGGTGTCTGCTCCAATACCCTGAGAGCTGGTGGTAGAGGCCTCAGCACACATTGAACACTGAGGCGGCCTGGCCTTGGTATTTCTCCTGGACCGTCTTGAGAATGGGGATGAGGTTCTGGAAAGTGGGGCGGAATGAGGCCTCTGCCTCCCAGCAGTTCTTCATGAGGAGGTAGATCTGGGGAGGAAAGTACTGGAAATGTGGCGGCTGCTCTTTCGGCAGCCGGCTGATGGGGAGGCGAATGGGGGGAGAGAGGGCTCACCTCGCAAGGGCATTTCTCTGGCCGCGGCAGCCTCTCCCCTCGTTCCAGCAGCTCAGTGAGCCTCAGCACCGTCATCTGCCCTTGGGTGAGGCCTATGAGCTCGATGAATTTCTACCCCCAAACAAGACAAGGTCTATTCAGGAGGTGTGTCTACCTAGACAGAGGCTTCTAGCCCCACCTCTGCTGCTTCTTGGGGCAGAACTTTACACTTATGACTTCATCTCCCTGGGCCTTGGTTTACCCACCTGTAAAAAGGGGCAGTAACATCTACCGCTGGGGTTACTGTAGAAGTTAGGTTAACTAACATTCATAGAGTAAGTCTGAAACGGGTGTTTGCTATTAAGTCTCTCTACAAACTGTTTTTATCTATCCAGAATCTTTTTTTTTTTTAAGACTTTTAAGTAATCTCTAAATCCAACGTGTGGCTTGAACCCCATGGGATTAGGGATTAAACCCTTGCTAAAGTGGAGGGGCTGGGAATCCAATGCATGCCTTTCTAACTCCTCTGGAATGGGGTGGGGCTGAGGGCCTGTCTCTCACCGAAGGGGGGCTCTGGCTGGAGTCACAGTAGGTCAGCAGCTCATACATGGTGACCCCGAAGGACCAGACGTCGGATGCATAGTAGAACTTACACTCCTTCAGGCACTCTGGAGCATACCTGGGGGGATGGGGCACTCAGGCCTTGGGCCAGACCAGGTTAGGGTCTTACCTGGGGCTTGGGAGCTCTCTGGTCCCAGTTAGGGCCCCACCGGGGTGGGGGGCAATTTCACTGGGATCAGACCCTGTCATCTGAGACCCCAGCATCTATCTCCTTCCCCGTCGGCCCCAGGTGACCCTGACACCCCACTTCAGCTGGTCCTGTCTGGTCACCAGAATACGGGGCTGTCCCCATCTTCGCGCACGCGGTAGTACTCATGGCCTTCAGGCACAGCCTTGGCTAGGCCAAAGTCCCCGATTTTGACCAGCCTGTCGTTGTCCAGCAGCACGTTGCGGGCAGCCAGGTCTCGGTGGACGTAGTGCTGTGCATGAAGGTAGGCCATGCCCTGGGGGGAGGGGGAGCCGGGATCAGTGGGGCGGGGTAGAGCCTGAGGAGTCTTGACCAGGATCAGGCGGGGAGGGGGCGAGCAGGTGCAGGAGCAGGCAGGATGCCAAGCGGAGCCCAGCAAAAGGGAGGAGAGGTGATGGCAGGGGCGGGACAATCGGGAGGGACTGGGCTGCCGGGCGTGCCCAAGTGGGCACAGAGATTCCAGGCGAATGGAAACTGGGGATGCGGGGAGCCGGCCCAGGCCTGGGGACTGGTGAGCCGACTGTATGGGACCCTCAGGCCAGGCCAAAGAGGAGGGGCCACTGGCCCACCTCACAGATCTGCTGGGCGAAGAGTAGCAGTTGGGCCAGTCCGACGTTGTGCCGGGGAAGGTAGTCCCGGAGGCTGCCCAGAGGCACGTACTCCATAACGAGCTGCACCGACTTCTCTCCTGATGCAGAAGGCGGGGCCGAGCGGGGATGGAGCCCGGGGCTGGGGGCCGCCCATCCCGAGCCCCGCAGCGCCCCCGCAGCGCCCCCGCCCCACCCCAGGCGAGGCCCTGACTCGGCCACTCTAGGCCCGGTCCTCAGGTGGGACAGCTCACCCTAAACCTCACCCCCACGTCCCCGGGTGACGGAACCGAAGGTCCCCCCCATCCGTCCTGGCCCCAGCTGCGGGCCAAGGTGGGAAGCAGGCAGCCCCGGCGCAACCACCCCACCCGAGGGCGTCCTCCAGTCAGAAGCTGTAATTGGCCAGGCCCTGCTGGCCCCGCCCACCGAGCCCCGCCCACCTTGGTCCTCACAGCATCCCTTGTATTTGACGATGTGCTTGTGGTAGAGCGTGCGCAGGATGTCGATCTCCCGCCGCCAGCCAGTGCGGAGCTGGGGGCCCCCGCCTGCCTTGAGGGCCTTCACAGCCACCATCTCGCCGGTGCCGTCGTTAGTCGGGTCGTAGCAATACAGACTGACCTTGCCGAAATGACCCTGGCCCCAGAGCACGCAGGAGGGTCGGCCCTATCCCGGCTTCCCAGGACCCACTCCAGTCGGGTCTGTTTGGAAAATCCTGGGCCCCACCTACTCCGTGTTAGGGGGGTCTCCTTGGGGCCTAGGCCTCCTTTTCAAATCCTCAGGGCCTCCTTTGAGGCTGAGGGTCTCATAGGCCAGGCCCTTCCCATATTAACTTCTGACCCAAACTCTTTTCACTCCACCAGGCGGGCTTTTGACAGTCTGGGCCCTGCCCCAGCCCCCTCACCTCGCCCAGATCCCGGATCTTTTTCAAATAGCGCTTGTGGAAAACGGTGGGGTCTGATGCAGGCGAGTCGGGGTTCACAGCCAAGACGTCAGCAAGATCTGGAAGTCACAGTGGGTGTCACTGGACCCCTAACTCTTCCAGCTACTTGGAGGCACAGAAAGCAGGTGTCTGCTCCCCCAGCATCTGATCTCAAATATAAGGAAACTTTTTTGCAACAGCTGCAAAATTCCACTTCTTGTCCAAAATACAGAACTGGCTGCATCAACACTGACGCCTGGAAGTTCTTAGATTGGGTAAAGGGTATTACATCAAGAGAGAAAGCAAAAGCAAGAGAGTTGCTGCAAGGGCCTAATTTGTCCAAAGAGGTTGTGGCTCTCCCTACATAAGACTTTAAGGGGAGCACAGGCATCCGTACAGCCTTAAGTGAATTCGAAACGGGCACGCATGCCGAGTCCCTGTGCAGAAACCTCAGGTGCACCATGCAGGCATAAGCAGGGGTCCCAGCAAGGGGGTGGGGCTCACTCTGGGGCTGCAGCTGAGTGAGGTCACGCAGGATGGTGCGGAAGGAGGGCCGCTGAGCTGGTTCATAGGTCAGGCACTGGCTGGTGAGTGTGGCCAGCTCCGGGCATGAGGGCTGAGGAAGCTGGTGCTGCTTCTGGTAGAAGCACTCTTTCTGCCAGGAAGGGGACCCACAGGAGTCAGTGCCCACCCCTCACCCCCACTCCTGGTCCCCTTCTCCAAAAGAACAGTCAAGCTCTCAGAGCAAGCTAGGTCCTTGTTCTTGTCACTCCCATTTTACAGATGCGGCAGCTGAGGCTTGGCAAATGGAAGCAGACTTGATCACCACTGCAGGGCCAGGACTTGATCCCGAGTCCAGCTGAGCGTGCTGGGCTCGAACACCTCACACTTGGCCCTTCCTGCCCTGGCTTCCACCCACCTCTGCACCTAGCCCCTCCTCCGTCTGCCTCCAGGAAGCTCCTGCAGCAATCTGAACGCACCAGACCCCCGGGGCCTTTGTACGTGCTGGGACCTCTGCCTAGGCTGCGCTTCCTAGCCTGGTCACTGCAGTATTTCTGCACTTAGATTAAACCTCCTCTGGGAAGCCTTGCCTGACCCCTCAACTGGTTCCGGGGAATCCGCTGGTACTCCCTCACCCCCACAGCCTGTGCTGCTCTCATCACGGCCCCGGGTGCTCTGCTTAAAACCGAAACACGTCACTTATTCGCTGTATGTCACGACTTTATGACGTAGGGACTGGTTAACCCCAAGTGACGGATAACCTGATGGAGCCCCGGAGATACGAGGCCACACAGCCAGAGAGGAGGCAGCTCTGGACCCCGAACATGCCCTCTGGACATCTTGGAAGTGCCAATCCCCTTTATAGGATGGAACCAGACAAGCCCTGGACGTACCTCAGAAGGGCCGCGGCCCTGCAGAGGGGCCTCCCCGTCGAAGCAGATCTCCAGGAGGGTGACACCAAAGCCCCATTTGTCAGCTGCAGTGGTTAGGGTGCTGGCCCCACCTGACAGGCACTCGGGGGCTGTCCAGGGGATCCTCTCTACCCGCTCTGGAGCCAGGGTCAGAAGTCACCAAGGGTGAAAAGAGCAGGGGGAAGCCCGTCCCTGAACCCAGCCCTGCCCGGGTCCTCACCCTCCCTGGAAAGGGCGCCCAGGCCCACACCGGGATCGCTCAGCTTGATGAAGGGGCTGGTGCCCTCCGCCAGTCCCAGCCGTGCCAGCAGGATGTTCCGGCCACACACATTACCATGAACCAGGCTCTTGTCTTCCTGTGGTGGGGTGGAAAGGGGGCATGGCCAATGGGGGGGGGGGCGCTGTAGATGCTGCCCCCAGTCCCATCCATGTGGTCTCCACAGGGACGGCCCACGTGAAAGAAATAACCGAGGTCAAATACACCACAAAACCCATAAAACGATCACGGTCATCATGGGGATCCAAATATGTGGTCATTGGGACCGGGTTGCACTAGGCACCTAGTAGGTCCTTCCAGTTTTCCCAGAGCTGGGGCCACACTTCCGGTCAGGTCCAACTGCTCTCCTCTAACCAAGCCCGGGGAGCTCTTTCCCCAGGCCCTCTAGGCTGGCTATTCCTTCTTCCCAGAATGCACTTACCCAGATACCCTCGGGACTCCCTTCCTCACCACCAGGTCACCTTAGTGAGGCCTTCCCCCACCCATCTATTTAAACCTTTGCTTCTTCCCCAGACCCTGCTCTTCCCCCCGTAGTTCTTACGACTTCCTAAAACACTACACAACGTAGTTAATTATTATTTGTTTGTTCCTCCCAACTAAGCGCCCAGCTCCCTAACGACAGAGACTTTTGTTTTGTTCTCCATTGTGTCCTCAGGGACGAGGACAGAGCCTGGCACACAGAGGTGCTCTGGAAACTGGGGTGACTAGGCCAGGAGGGGCTGGGATGAATGGCAAGAGAGACAGAGGCTGCCAAGGCCAAGCCCCCCGGGACCTCAGACACTATAGAGAGGTGAGGTGTTCTCTTGGGGGAGATGGGAGCCACAGGGGTGTGTGAGCAGGACAGGTTCATGGAAAGATCCCCCAGGGCCAGTGTGTGGATTAAATAACGTGTTGAGGCCTCCACACCCAATGCTGAGGCCACCCTGGCGCTCCCATCGACCCAGGCCCCACCCACAAGCACGCACCAGGTAGCTGAGAGCGCTGGCCAGCTGCTGGGCCACTGCCACCTTCCAGGCCACAGGCACGTGGCCCCTCTCCCGCCGCAGCCACACATCCAGGGGTCCGTGCTCCACGTACTCTGTCACCATGATGTCTGCAAAGGCCCAGCAGGGGCTGCCCACCTGCCTCCACCCTCCAGAGCACAGGTGGTAGGACACGGGGGCTGGGACTGTGGGTGGGGAAGGTGTCGGGACAGAGGCCCGGGGGGCAACTTGGGAGTGACGCTGGGGTGAGGGGAAATGCGGGATGGAGGGTAGGCAATGTGGGTGCAGGGTGAGGCAGAGGTGAACGCTGGCATCTGAGTCCAGGGTGGGGCCGGGGAAAGCTGACATGTAAAGTGACAATGTGAGGATGTCACTGGGGAACCGGGGGTGGGTACAGGCGAGTGGAAGTGTGGAGGTTAAGACAGGGGCATCATAAGGGCTCACAGGATCCCACCAGATTGGGGCACTCACGGGGTGTAGACCCGCGTTGGAGGGAAAGCCAGAGAAATGGACAGGTGGGGTTGAGAATGTGGGGGCTACTGGCTGGGGTCACCCTGGACGTGGAGTTTTGAGGTACACACAGGGTAGGGGTAGAGGTAGGGGCGGAGGCAAGAGATCTGGGAGGACTGGGGAGCCCAACGGTGCCGGTGTCTGCGTGGGGTCACAATGCCAGTGGGGTCAGAGAGTCGAGAGATGCCGGGGACTAGGGGTGTCAGGTGGTAGATGGGCTAGGGATCCAGCCAGGAGTCAGGGTGTAGGTCAAGGGTTAGGGTACAGCCAGGTACTGGAGTAGAAGGAAAAGTCAAGGTATAGTCAGGGATGAGGATGCAAAGTGAGTGTTGGGATACAGTCAGGGGGTGGGGTACAAGTTGAAGGTCGAGTAGCCACAGTTTGAGGTGTGTCGTCAGAGATCATGGTATAAGTCAAGGTGGAGCGTGGAGTCAGGGGTGAAGACACAGGTCAAGGGTCAGGGTACAACCCAGGGAGTGGGTATAAGGGGACTGCAAAGCGGGGGGCGGTGGGGGACCCACTCACTCTCAGAGCCGTGCACGCAGACGCCGTGCACAAAGGCCAGGTGCACGTGGGAGACCTGGCTCATGAGGCTGGCTGTCTCGTAGAAGGCCTATGGACGTGGGGCAGGTCAGGTGGTCACAGACCCTGACCGTCCCCCCCATCCTGCCACCTGGACCCTGGCGGTGCTCACTCACCAGGGCGATGTCGTGGTGACTGGGATCCAGCACCTTGAGTACCACTCGTAGCTCCTGCCCACGGTCCCCACTGGGCGTGGGGGGGTCCCCACCATCTGCCGTGCCCTCCTTGGGACCTCTTTCCCCCACCCGTAAGATGCCCTCATACACATTGGTCCTCGTGCCTTGGCCCAAGTGAGACAGCTGGAGGGACAAAGCACAGAACGTCTCCGTGACGACAGCTGGAGGCCGCCCTCCCCAGTGCCCCGGAGCCCCGACTGCACGGACCTGGGTAATGTCATCCTGGCAGACGCGGTGGAAGCTGAGCTGGCTGAGGTTGAGTGGCCCAGGGCTGGCCCGAGACCCACGCATGATGATGAGGTTGGAGAGCTCTGGGGGTTGAAGTGACATCACCGTGGGCTGGCACGGGGAGGAGACGCCCCCCCCCCATGGCTCCCCGTACCATACCTCCGGGGCGTGGCAGGCAGCAGCGGCGCAGGGAGAAACAGTCGTCCCCGGCCCGCAGCGAGCAGCCCTGCAGGGCGGTGCGCAGCTCCCGCACGCTCGGGAAGGAGCGGTCCCAGCCCTCCAGCTCGAAGCTCCCGGCCCGCAGCTCAATGGGGAATTTACGGAGGTGCAGCTGCTGCCCGCCAGGTGCCTGGGGTGGGTGGCAGGGGTGGGGGCGGTGAGCAGGGGTCCAGGCAGGGAGCGCGCCCAGCCCCGGCCCGGGACCCCCGCCCCAGGCCCACCTGGTCACGCTGGGCCACCGTGAGGATGAGACGGTTGAGGTGGCTGGTGCTCCAGTGGATGAGGTAGAGGCCATCTTCGGGCCGCAGCTTGGCCAGCACGAATGGCTCCCTGTAGAAGACAAGGGGGCGTGTCGGGGAACCCAGGAGTGCAGCTGGACCCGCGCCTGGCCACAAGGACACACGAAACCTCCCTGACGAACGAGCCTGACAAACGTCAGACTCGGGCACTTACGTGCAGATGCTGAGTCTGAACACAGACGCGTACCAATTAAACATGGTATCGCACACGAACACTCCCAGGGCGATAGAGGTGCCACAAGAGGCATACGCTCGTGTGTGACAATGGCTGGACAGTGTCACCAACATGGTGACACACACACAGACGGTCAACTGCATTCAGACACTGGATGGGCACACACCCTGCCAGCCACCTTGACACGCAGCATGTAGTCTGTCGCACGTTCATAGGACAACAGTCACAAGTGCAGCCGCTTACCCGTTATGATGTGGTGGCACAGGGGCATCGATATCCCAGACCCAGAGGTGACAATGTCGTGAGCACAGATAGGCAGTACGTGGGCTGCAGCCACAGAGGCCCAGACACCTACGCGTGTGGGGGCTCACATGCTACTAGACTGAATGTCCATGTGTCCCTGGAATTCCTGTGCTGAAACCTAACCCCCAAGGTGACGCTGTGAGGAAGTGGGGCCTCTGGGAGGTGATCAGGTCACGAGGGTGGAAAGCCCACGAATAAGATCAGTGCCCTTACAGAAGGACCTCAGAGCACTCGCCTGCCCCTTCCACGTGAGGACCCAGCCAGAGGGCTGTCTATGACCCAGGTGGCGGGACTCTCAACCGAACACCGGACCTGCCTGCACCTCGAACTTAGACTTCCGGCTTCCGGAACTATGAGAACCAAACGTCCGTTGCCTCTACATCACTCCGCCAATGCTACTGTCCTAGCCGTCCAAACAGACCAGGACACACGCCGATGCGGTCCCCGGACCCCAAGACAGGTGGCCGTGCACATCGGCTGGGACATGGCACAGCCACGGCCCTCAGGAGGTGGGATGGCCGCTTCACCCTCCTCTGGGGTAGAGACTAGGCTCCGAGCCGTCGGACCTCTTAGACACCTCGATGGCCCGTCCCGGGGCCGCAGATGGCGCAGGACCGCCCAGGCACGGGTATGAGGCACAGACGAACCGCGAGTCACAAACCCTGACCCAGGAGCATGCAGGATGGCCACACGCGTGTCTGAGGACCACTTAAGTACTGACACTTGACGTCCTTGGCCCCGTATGTCCGAACAGAATTGCACAGACAGTGACCTACAATTACCAGGACACACACACACACCTGTGGGGATGTAAACACGCATGTATGTGAAGGGCCACTAGCGTTTGTCCAACCTACAGCTCCACAAAGATCACCCGTCCCGTCATGTAAGAACAGGCAATGACGATTTTATATGCAATCATAAAACACAGCCGCACACCCAAAGAGCCGTTAAACGTGTGTGGTGACAGTCCCAGACCCAGGTGCTGTCATGACACGTGCCCACGCTGTGGCAGGCACCCTCTTTCCCCCTGTAACCCGAGGCGTGCACACGTGCATCCACTCCCACACGTGCACCCACACAGGCGAACACGTGTGCACCCACGGGCATGCACACACGTGTACACACATGGACGCCATAGGCGCAGATGCATGTGCACGTGTGTGTGCTTACACACGGCCACACTCACAGCTGCGCTCACACACGTAGGCATGTACTAAGACAGGAAGGCTTGCTCGCACGTGTATACTCTCACACGGAGGTGAGCACACACCACACACAAGCACACTAATGTGAACGCACGCGAAGACCTCGATACAAACACCTCGTTCAAGCCTCACCGTCCCTGGAGCTTGCGGCCCGGCTGGCAGCCCCACGTCGCCCCATATCACCCAGCCGCCCTCCCAGCACTCACAGCAAGGGCCCGTGGATGCCATCCCGGATGCTCATCACCAGCCGTGGAGGGGCCACCTCCTGGCACAGGTAGTGGCTCGAGTCGGCCGTCAGGCGGAAATAGCCGTCCACCAGCGACACCAAGGACAGGGCCACAGCCCGGGAAGGCAGGGTGAGCTCCTGCGGGCCGGGGTGGGGGTGGGGGGACGTCAGGCAGCCATCGCAGACCAGAGGCGCCCCCCGTGCCCCCCGTCAGGCCCGCAGCCCCAGGGCCCCACCAGGCACTTGTCCTGACGGTGGATGCTGACGTGGCGCTCTTTCAGCACCACGTGGGTGATGTCCTGGAAGTCACAGAAGTAGGCCCATGGCGCTTCCTGAGGCCTGTCCACTGGCTGGTTGCCCACCTCCTGGGCCTTGCTTTTCTTCCCTGATGGGCCAGCACGGGGGTTCCTGCTGCAACCATCGCCACTGGGACCCTGGAAACCCAGCAGGGCCGTGCCAGCTTAGTCCCCTGCACAGTTTTCCCGGGGACAGGCTCCTCAGGCATCCCCCTAAGTCCCCGTGTCACAGATGGGACGGAGACCTTCCCCCAAGAGACACACACGCCAGAAGACAGAACCTCACAGGTACCAGACGAGGGTCCCTCAGAGATGCAGACCTCAGAAAGTAGGTCCCTAGGGGGGAGACAGAGGCTGCTCCCCAAAAATCCACCCCAGGGGACAGACAGACACACCCCAGCGCCACGTGGGGAAAGGGCTCACGGCAGCCACCCTTGGAGGCCAAGGCTGAGCAGGAAGCCCAGCCCCAGCCATCGGGGCCCCCGGATGGAAGAGGCACTCTGCTCACCTCTGCCTGGACTGGTCGCCACCGGATGCCACCAGTGCCTGTCACCAGCACCTCATGAGTAGGGGGTCCGGGGGCCAATTCAGGCCCAGGCTCCGGGGGGGACTGGCTCCCGTCCCGGACGTAGCAGGGGTCCCCCACGGCCTGGGCCTGCTCCTCCAGCCGGCACACGAGCACGCGCTCCGTGCCGAAGCGGGGTGCCAGCTGCTCCAGCGTGGCCAGGTACTTGACCATGATGACCGGCTGGGAGACGTGGCCCGGCTGGAAGGCCCGCACAAACCTGCGGAAGAGCCTCCGTAGGCGCAGCCGTGTTAACGCGTTGTGCCGCCGGAGCTGCAGCCGGAAGGAGCGCGGGATGCAGTCCTTGAAGCTGGGGGGGCAACCAGGAAGGGCTGGTCAGGAGCCCGGTTGCAGGCCTAGCCGCGTCACGCTGGGTGAGCGGCCTAACCTCTCTGAACCTCAGCTGCCTCGTCTAGAAAACAGGCCGGCCGTCGTGCAGGTGGAAAGAGAGCAACGCAATAAAGGGCCAGCACAGGGAGGCCAGCCGGTGTCAGAATTCTGGAGCAGACGATGGGGCTAAAATCCCAGCTCTCGGACAACCTCCTAAAGCGCTCGGTCTTCTCATATATAGGGTGGGATCAAACAGGGCCCACTTCCAGGCCTGAGGCCTGAGGGCTGCTGACTGGCACACAGTAAGACCTATGTGAACATCAGGTGTTACTACTGGAGAAGTCACGATTAGTTTTTATCACCGATATGATGATTATCGACAAAAGGCACAGCTCTGGGAGGCCCCTCTGCTCCTCACAAACCCTTATCCTCTCCCCTCTTCTCCCACTGCCTGTCTGGCATCTGACCTCCAGTACAGCTCACTTAGCTAACAGATTTCTGAGCCTCAGTCTCCATGTCCCAAGCCCTCTCTCCCACCCCTAGATCAGAGCGATCCAAAAGCTTGAGGTTTTAGCTGCCTCTTGCCCCCACTTCCAAGCTTCCCAGGGCTCCTTGGAGCCCTTGGGAGAAAGGTCCCCTGACTACAGCCTGGTGGACTCAGGCCCCCATATTCCAAGTTCAGATCTCCAAGAAGAAGGCCGCTGCTGCCTACTGCCTCTGGGCCTTTGCGTATGCTTTTCCCTCTGCTTAGAATGCTTGGCCAACACAGTCCACATCTGGATAAAGCTGACTCAAACTTCAGGTCTTAGCAGAAATGTCACTTCTCCCAGGAAGCATCCTCTGATGTCGAGGCTAGAGGGGGTACTCCCTCCGGGCTTCCAAGCACCTTGGACTTTGTTGTCCCAGCCTGGGTCTTCCAGAGTGATAACATGACAGAAATGGAAAGGACACGTGCTTTAAGAACTGTTGGTCTTGTAGGATCCATTTCTCTCACTGCCTCCTCCAGGCAGTGTACCCAGATTACCCAGGCCCTCACAACAATGGAGGTGCAGACAGCTCACTCCCAGCTCCCCATGCTCCTATGTCCTTCCTTCCCTTGAACTCTAAGGAATTCTCCGAGTTTACTCTGCTCCACCTACACATCCTCCAACATATCTGCCAGGCCTCGGGGTGTTCGCACTGGCTGTTCTCTCTGTTCAGGACGCCCTCCTCTCGGATACGCACCACGCTCCCTCCTTCACTTCCTTCAAACCTTGGAATCTGAATACTACCTTCTCCTTCTTCCTCCCTTCCTGCTTAATTTTTTCCCCTCTGCGTGTAGCATCACCTGAAACCCTGGACCTTTCGCTTTTGCTGTTCTGTGTGCTGCCTGGCTCCTTGACCAGACGTGAGCTCCGAGAGGACGGTGATTTTTGTCTGACTCGTTCACTGTTGTGGCCTCGGCACCCAGCACCAGCGCCAGCATACGGCAGGCACTGAATAAGCGTTTGCCGAATGAAGACATTGCAGGATGCAAGGTCTACTGTGACTCCCGGATACCTGTCCCCACCCCATTCCCGGACACCTGATCTTCTTGGCCACCTTCTCCAGGGGGATACCATGGCAAAGGGCGAGGTGGCAGAGGTGCAGAAAGGCCATGCCCAGGCTCTCGTTCTTAAAATGGTGGATCTCCTCCTCGCTCGACAGCTCCCACAGTGGTGCCACATCATTCACAAACTCGTGCTTGCCCTGGGTGGGTGGGGGGAGCGGGCAGAAAGGGAGGCATGAAAACCTGTTCCCTCTCTGGCTTCTGTCCACTTTCGGGATGGGAGGGAACCCCCATTTTCTGGAAAGGCCAAATACGCAGCATACATGCCTCCTCTGCCCCACCCTCGGCCTGTGGCACACATCACTAATGGATCACAGCACTCTCTCCCACGCAATCCTGTCTCAGAACCCTTTGGTTCAGACAGCCAAAGGATCCCAGACGGCAAGGGCTGAAACCTATTCGCTTTAGTGAACTGGGGAGGGAAGCGGGGCTCCTCAGCTACCCCTGAGTCCCTCACAAACAGCCCCACGTCCCCAGCAGCCCTGCACACACCTGCTCAAAGAGGTACTCAAAGGAGGCTGGGTCCAGGAGTTGCACCCCCTGCTCTGCCTGTTCCGAGGAAGACTTGGCCCTGGTGGGCCCACAGCGGTACACGGCCGGCTCCTGAGGATTCATGCTGTGCCAGTTCCGGAAATAAAACCTGCAAGGCGGGGGGGAAGGGGGAACAGCTGGGGCCTTAGTGTGGACTCAGACCAGCTCCAGGAAGGTGGGGTGCTGGGGAACGAGGGGGGCAGAACAAAAAGGGGCGAGACTTCCAAGGGGCCTTCACCCACCTCATGCGGAAGTACAATGTCAGGTTCATGTCTCTGGAGACCTCCAAGATGTGGTTTGGGGGCAGCCACACCTGGGCCTGGGCATCAAAGAGGGCGAAGAGATTGAGGCAGGATGGAGTGATGCCTGGAACAGGGAAGAAACAAGATCAGGAGTCCGCAGCTGCTGCCATCTGCCTTGTGGACCCCCTCATAGGCCCGGCCCTCCCCTCCCCTCCCTCCCCTCTGCTCCTCCTGCACGTCGAGCGCAATGCAACATGTTGACCATGCTGCGGCTTCAGAGACTAGATTTCCTATCCTGGTTTCTGGACAACGGGATGTTGGCGGAAGGGAGACGCAGATTCCCAGGCCAGGAAATAAACTGTCTCGCATCTTCCCTGTCTCAGGGGTGGTGGAGACCCCTTGTGCCGAAGCTACAAGATAGAAGTGAATCATTCAACCTGCATTAGATTTTAGGTAAACCTTTGCTGCCCTTGACCCAGGAAAATTTGGGAGGCTGCCATTCCTAGAGCGAGAACCTATCCTAGACCGACCCACCCAACTCTACAAACTGCTGGCACTCTGCCTGGTCTCGCTCTGAACTCCAGCCCCGGGGGAAGAGCCACCTGCCTCCTAGCTGTCTCCCCCTGGATGCCAGAGCCCTCTTAGATGTGCCTTGTTTCAAAGAGATCTTGTCTCAGGTCCCCAGACCCGCCTCTTGTCTGCCCAGTTCTTTTTTTTTTTTTT